AAGCACCAGGATTACAGTACGGCACCTCCTGCTTGCATGGGGCCTGAGAGGAAAATTTTCTTAGACTCTGATTGCTGGAGAAAACTAGATTTTTTCCATGTACTAACTTTATAAGCATTATGTATGACCACCATCTCTTGGGTTTTTAGTGGTTTTTCTTTACTTTCTCCCATAGATTGTAGATTCCCTTCCTAATTTTGTTGTAGTTTATAGAAAATGCAATAAAAATCCCCTACAGGGGGCCATAAAAAAAAAGACTTCAGGTAAACATACAGAAGCAGCATTTGCCCAGTATCGCCATGACTGGTTGTCAAAGCATTTCTGTGTCAAGAAGGAAGTACACCACCTGGCAAAAAACCTGGAGTACTGAAGCGCTAACCTGAGGTACAAGTAGCCAATTGTGATTAATACACAATGACCAGATTATGAGATACAATCTCAGATGGTCTACACCTGTTCTTGGGATTTTGATCTGTCAGGCTCATATATCTCTTTGGCTGGCTGCAACCTGGATCCAACAGCATTCAGATAACTGTAGTTACACAGAAAAAGGGAATGCTCAACTCCCCCTTCTTCAACACCTTGACAATTTCACTATCTTTCACAAGGAAAAGTTATCCTTATACCCAGTCCATGTCAAGGTTTGATTTTTCTCTTTTATTTGCATTATCACCCTATAAACAGTTGTATTCTATTTCAGTTTTAGAGACCTCTTCCTTTTAGATGTATTTTTAATAGAAACAGATGAACACAGTTAATGTTGATGTAGGGAATAATTTTTCAGATTGCAAGTGTCCCCCCCACATAAACATTCTGACCATACACAGTTTCCACAGTAGCCCAGATTTTAACACCACATCCTAGCAATCCACAGTACATGCCTGGAAAATTTCACAATTGGATTACTGTGATAAACTCTTCATGGGGCTGCCTTTGAAGGTAATGTGTAGGCTATAACCAGGGCCACTGAGGAGATGGGACTGGGGGGGGGGACAAAATTCCTAGGGACCAAGTCAGCTGGAGGGCACCTTATGCTGCATCTGGCCAAATGCATTTCCACTTATATTACTTTTAATGCAGTTCTGGCTGCAGTCACTAGGGGCACAGGGAAGTCTGAGCACATTAATAGGCACTCTGATGATCAGCTAGCCTGGCCTTCTGCAAGGCTGAAGCAAACCCTTGCCTAATAGGATCATGCTAAGCCCATCAACCAAGCCAGCACTGGAGCAAGGCAAGACAAGCCAGCATACCTGATGGCTGCTACAGTAAATGCCACAATGCAGTCTGCTAACAAGGTTGTTGTCTCCAGCAGTCTATCTTTCCCTCTTCCTTTCTTTGTATTCAGCTCCATAGTTCTGTCTGTGAAGCCAGGCCTTGCAAAGCAATAAGTGTGCTGCTGCACAATAAAACAAACTCTCCCTCTCTTTTCCTTACTTTTATAAGAATCCTTGATTTTGCTCTCTTTCATGACCTTCTTTCATTTCTCTCTTCCTTCACCTAAGTTTTCCATGTCTCCCTCTCCCCCCTTTGTTTTCAAGCCTTGGTCACAAGTTCAGACTCTCAGCTGTTTCTCATCCCTATCCTGCTTGGCAAATTAGAATGTACTTAATAGCAGTATAGTAGCAAACACTTGTTAATATTATGAACAGAAGGGGTGAGTTAATACTTCCACATGATCTAACAAAGCAGTTACATCCACCCTTTACATGCATGGTGATGGAACATTAGTCTTTTTTAGTGGACATATATGAGGAACAGAAGTTAGAACTCCCATTTCAGGCACTGGGTTGCTATTATTACTATTGTGTTGGTGGAACATTTGATAGCCCTTTGTAAAGTTTACTTTGTCCTGACCTGGATGGCCCAGGCTAGCCCAATCTCGCCAGATCTAGGAAGCTAAGCAGAATCGGCCCTGGTCAGTATTTGAATGGGAGACCACCAAGGAGTATGGAGGGGCAGGCAATGGCAAACCACCTTTAAACATCTCTTGCCTTGAAAACTGTACAGGGTCACCATAAGTTGGCTGCAACTTGATTGGGAAAAGGGCTACTTTGAAATATGACAAATGACAAAATCTATTTAGATAATGTCAGCAAAATCAATCACAATGATTCCAGTACTTCCCATCCAGCATCACTATATAACCCAGTTTGTCCCTGGATTAGTGTTAGGTAAAGGTACAAGACTAAACTGAAATAGATTTCTTACTAATTTACTTACTAAAAAGTTATTCTGACATTAAGTTTTTGTGAACTAGAGCTCAATTCATCATATGTAAGATGTGTATCTTATATTGGTAGACATATATATGTGTGCTTGAATTTAAAATTACAAACTAGACACAGGGCTACAGAGAGCAATATTGAGAGGCACAGGCTATGCAAACAGAGTAGATGAGTGCATTTTTTTGCCATGCACAGTTGGCCTTTTGCTGACAGGAAAAAACACATCTATTTTGCTTTCTCGTGGTCCTTTCTTACATGCCCTGGGGTAATGCCAATTGCCAATTTGGAGTCAGGAAGGAATTTTCCTCCAGGCCAGATGGGCCAGGGAGCTGGGAGGCTTTTTGCCTTCCTCTGGGCCTAGAGGAGGGGTCACTGGGGGAGTGTGCGGGAAGGAGGTAGTTGTGAATTTCCTGCATTTTGCAGGGGGTTGGATGAGATAATCCTTGTGGTCCCTTCCAGCTTTATGATTCTATGTTTGTATTAATGTTGTGTTATTATATACAGGATTAACTAGCTTCCAGGTGGGGCCTGGAAACCTCCTGACTACAGAGATTCAGTTTCCCTGGAGAAAATGGCTGCTTTGGAAGGTGGACTCTATGGCATTATACCCTGCTGAGGTCCATCCCTACTCCAAATCCCATCATCCCCAGGCTCCACCCGCAAATTTCCAACAATTTCCCAACCCAAAGTTGGCAACACTACTTGTATAGGATAAGGGCTAAGAGGGGCAGGAGATGTAAGTCTGCAGACAGTGTAAGAAACTGCTTGCTGGCACATTAACCATGGCCCTCTTGCAGTAAGGTGTTTTTTTTCTGTAAAATGAACTGTTCCAAAATTATATTTTACTTTGCTTTAATGAAATTTCCTAAAAATACTTTCATTTCTATTGGCTCAAACTATTTTTGTGGAGGATTTTTTTTATTCTTATGCAAGTCTTGTTATCTTTTTTGGCCTTCAGCACACTTCGTTCACTACACATTTTCTATTTTTAACCTGTGCAAACCTTTGAATAATCTTTCAAAAAGCCACATCATTTATGCTTTATTCTGCTTTCTCCAAAGGACCCATCTGTTTTGCCTGCAGGTTCTCAGCAGAACAGTAAATACAGAACTGCTACTCAAGCCATTCCATCTAGCAAATAGCTTTTAGTCCTTTTGACTTCTACAAGGTTTTTTTTTTTGTAAGTTGACATAATGGCAGATTGTGATTCTTTTAGCATTTAGGTATTTCAATTACCCTTATCAACTGGACCATAAAAGAATTTTGGATACCATCATGAATGCTTTACTAGAGCATCAGTCACATCATTTCAAAAGCTTAGCAGAATGTTTATTCTGAATTGCTCAGATCCTACAGACACAGAGCAGACAGATGGAGAACACAGAAGTACAGGCTTTAAAATGTACAGGCAAAGGCTTGAGAAGGCAGAAGTCAGTGAAAGCAAGAATGGCCCAGAGGAATAAGAAGAAGAAGGTTAGAAAAAATGCACTAAGGAGGAGGGAAAGCTGGGGGGAGGGGAGATACATGACCATGAGTTGCAGAAGTGAAGAAAGGTCTGGTTGACATATTCATCTGAAATAACCAGTCAAATCTCTGGCTGAAGGCCTCCAGTTTTTGTAGCAGTTACAGGAAAAAACACATCTATTTTGCTTTCCAGAAGGATATAAAAAGTGTACTTTCATTCCATTCATATGACATGGGTTTTTGAAATCAGAAAATATTTTTGGATCTTGTACATGATGTCAGATGACAGGACCTGCTTTAGTTAGCAGCAGGGTTTAAGGTCACAAAGAATATTTTTTAAAATTTTCTCTAAGCCTTCTTCACAGCACTGTGGTGCATTCATGTACCTCCAGGTGTTCCCTTGGCTTTCCCCCTACCTTCCCCAGCTTTGCTCCAAAGTTCTGAGAAAGACTGTAGCAAAGCCTGGATGGCTGCTGTGAAGGTGGGAAAGTCTGGATTTTCTAGGCCCTGCCCACACAGCAGCCATTTTCCCCACAGTGGCCATCCCCCGGCCCCTGGGGGCTTAAAAAACCACCAACTGAATAGTGTGACATTGACATAATATTATAACATTATTATGTAATATGTTCTATGAATTCACAGCTTTCTTCTTTTTAAAAAAGAAAAGTAAGTCTCTAGGACTTCTCATTGCAGTGATCTCAAAGAAAGGCATATTTCCACAATGGAAGGGGCTAGAGATTTATGTTTTTAAAATGAAAGCTGGGAATTCACAGAGCTCATTACACATACTGATGTAATGTTATATCAATACAGTGATAATCACTCACCTATTGTTTAAAATAAAACCTGAAAATGCCCTGATAGTGGTGGCAGCCCTGGGGAACAAGATACTATAAGGGAACCTGCCATATGGAAGTCCTGTTGCTTCTGTGCTGTATTGGCAGCCGCAGCAGCGAAACTATACAAGCCTGTCCCCATGTGAAAAACACTCCAGTTATATGGTCACTGTACCATCCACAGGAAACAGTTTCTCAATTCCCCCCATGCCTACCCACTCCATATAGAATGCCCCATTGTTTGAAGATTTTTTCCTACTATATTCATAGATCGTGCGCTGAGAGAATGCACATCTTGTTCAAAAAACAGCTTTCCCCGCTAAAAGGTTACTCTGCGGAATACCACTGCAGATGGCTAGAACATACACAGAATTAACCAAAGTTCCTAGGAAAACTACTGAAAAGCACACTGTTTGCTGAGTTAGCAACCCCTCCCCTACAAAAACAATTAAACATTCTGACAAATTCTTCTTACCTCTGTTTCTGAACACTGTGAATGTTCTGATTTACCTGAAATTGAAAGGGAACGAAAGTTATTTTCATGTTTTTTTAAAAAAAGTATTGAACAGATTAACTGCAAAACAAGTTTAATCAAAGCTGCATTCTCCATACACTCTCTAAAGGAGACTGAATACTCTTTCAGTATATACAACAGCATTTTGTTGCATTAACCTAGTTTTGAATTTGAGTACATACTATACATATATACCTGTGTGTATTATAATTTAATTTACACATACACACTGGAATTGTGCTGTTGGTAAATGATCATCAGAGTGTGAAACCCAGCCTGCTCCAGTTGTAGCCATCTCTTTGAACTCCCTGGCTCCTAAGGCCACACTGCTTTGGGGAGGAAGTCCCACTGCATTCAGTAGCACTTACTTCCTAACAAAAATGTACAGCATGGGTGGGGAACTACCTGGCTCTCTGGTCAAGGAGAAGATGAGAGCTGCAGTTTTTGAAGCATGCATATGCATGCACCCCCCCACTCTCTCAATAGCCATAGATGTGAGCAGTTCCCATGAATCTGAATGGAAGGTACTAAGCTAGCCTAGTGGCTGGTGGTGGTACTGCAGGCATCTTTGCCGGAATCTCAACTAAAAGCTCTACCATTTTTCTCCCTGTGTATCCTGCTGCCGCCACTCATTGTCCTCAAGCTGGGGAGAGGGTGAAGAAAGAGCTTTGGACTGCAGCCCCCCCCCCCACTGTATGTTGCAGAGAAGCAAGGAGATAGATGATCCATTCAATTAATTTGAAAAGAGAGAATGTTTCCTTCCCTCCCAGGAGCCTTGCATAAAGGAATAACTCATCCTCTCTCATGACACACAGTGAAGGTCCTAGTTTTTGGTCCTAGTTTTTTCACCTTTTGCCAGGGAAGAAAAAACATAGTTTCTTTCCATGTCAGGCACACTGCAGTCTGAAGAAATTAACATGTACTTCCTATATTTCATGACCCTTTGGTCCTGCCAGTTGTTTTTCCTTATATTAAAATGACTGCATTGCAAGGATCCATTCACTGCAATAAAAGAAGCAGCCTTTAGCCCTCAAAAGCTTATTCTGGAATAAAAAGTTATGAATCTTTAAAGTGCCACAAGATTCATGCTTATTTTTACTTCTACTGCATTAACACTTTCTTTTTCACATCTGTAACCAGTTGAGGTGGAAGGGCTAGCCACTCTAAACTCTTCAAGAATAGCCACAAGTGTGTTACAATGTAAGATCTTATAGTTAGGATCAGTCTTTCAATGAAATAAGAAACACAGTATCTTATGCTATGAAAAATATCTAATACTCTACCTCAATTAAACATCATCTTAAGTGCAGCTATCTATCATTATTCAGCCATCAGAGTGGTCTTCAAAAGAGATGGCACTCTGCCTGAGATTCCCAAGACCAAAAATGGTCTGAAGGTCTACGTTCACAGAAGAAAGATACCAAGGAAGACCATCAGTCCATCTTGCCCAGCACTGCCTACTTATACTGGCATTGGCTCTCCAAGGTCTTTCCCAGTCATGGTAGCAAAGATTCCTTTTAAATGGATACGACGAGGACTGAACTTCTTGCCAAGCGTGCAGTCTGTTCAACAACCAGACCTCCCTTGAACAATCTAAGTTCTCAGTAGGGTTTCCAGCACAAAAGTGATGGCTGGTCAAACAATCTGAGCTCAGCAGAATTAAACCCCCACACACACACACATAAATAGTCAGGGTGGCAGATGAGAAGCAACAAATAATTCTATGGTAAGGTTTTTTCAGTTATCTCAACTCTGTTCCACTGTTGAGGAAATAAAGATCCAGGGGACTATTACAAAGTCACCCTTAAATTTAGAAGTGAAAAAATATGTTATGAAAAGAACATTCTACATTTTCCTTGATATTTTCCCCATGTACTATCAATCTAACCTTGCTTCTATGTCCCCTCACTCTTCAGGAAACTATGATACCGTATATAATCTGATAGTTTGCACTGCTGACTTTGAATACTTGACCTCTGAGTCCTATAAATTTATGGCTCTATTGTAAGATAATTTTTAAACAATTGACATATGCATATCCCAACTTTCCATACTTTCTTAATTCATGTTTCTTTCTGTGGTTCCTGTGCATGTATTTGAAATGGTCACTTCAATCACAATTCGATGTAAACTAGGAAAAAGTTATGTCTGCTGAAATAGTAGGCAGGATTGACTATCAGAAGAATGCATTCTTATACAACTTATGGATCTCCCTTTAAAACGTTCTTACAAATCTAGCAGGTGACTTCAGAACAGCTGTGTTCTCTTTCACTCTTAGTACCCTTACTGTAAAATGGGAGTGCCAATTATTCACTCAAGCAGAGCACACTACTCTGCATCCCATTTAAATAATAATTACAGTGCCTAACTCTTACATAATTTCATAAGGAATATAAAAATACCATGACAGTCATAATAGACCAGCGTGTTTTTCTTTAAATAAATCGGCTAATTAATGGTGCTTTTCCTAACACTGTCAAGCATTACTGAGAATGGTTCGATTGATTACATCAGAGATACAAACAATAAGTATTGCAGGATATAAAGTAAGAAAAGAATTGCTAGTTGTGATAGACAACTAGCTAGTTGTAATCTACCACATTTCTAACAGCAAAGGGGGTTTTTTTGCTGTCAAGTCACAGCTGATTTATGGCGACCCCACAGCATTTTTGAGGCAAGAGACATTCAGAGGTGGTTTGCCATTGCCTGCCTCTACATACTGCCCATGGTATTCCTTGGAAGTCTCCCATCCAAATACTGACCAGGGCCAACCCTGCTTAGCTTCGGAGATTTGATGAGATTGGGCTAGCCTGGGCAATCCAGGTCAGGACAGTGAAGAAATAGCACCAAATTTAGCTGTTAGCACCAATGTTCCCTCTAAGCTGTGGAGTCTTGTGAGCAAAAATTCTACTTTGTGAGCTACTGGCACTAACGTTGTGAGTGAGCAATTTGGCTACTGCACAGTTTGCTCTGGAGTCATCCTCCCTGAGCTAACACAAAAATGTGTGGCTTCCGGTTTATGGCGGCACGCTAGCAGACTCACCTCCCGGACCTCCCAGCCCGCCCGTGGGTGAATCTGCCCACCAGCCGAAGGAGGGGGTGCACAGGCTCGCAACCCCCCCCCCGAGGCCCGGCGGAGGGACTCTGGCCATGGAACTTTTAAGAGGTCGCCTCTTCGACGGCGGAATGCCGGAGAATTGAGGCGCCTCTTCGTTCCGACGGTTCTCCGTGCTTTGAGACCAAATGGACTTAGTGACGCTGACCGGGGCAAGCGCAGGAGATCGTGCGGCAGAAATGAAATGAAAGCAAGGTCGAACGACCAATGATGAATGTGAGTCAATTTCAAAGTGTTTAGTAAAGGGGAAAAGATAGCTCCCCACCGAATGGAAAAAAGACGAGCGGGGGAGGGACGCCTCCCATGCGCACAAACATTTGAGTGATTGAGGGGGGGAGCGGAAGAAAACGCGAGGGAAACTGCGTAGAAGTACTTACCAAAGCGAATCTAAGCGGTTAAGCGCACATTCAGAGACTTTTAAAAAATCCGCGAAAGTAAACAAACGATAAAGATGGCGGGGAAGAAGGACAGAGAAAAACTTTTGAAAGCGAAAGGGTCTGAGA